AAAGATTGGATTGGATTATTTAATTACGGCAAAGCACACAAGGGCTATCTGCCTAAAGGGAGGAATGCCTTCGTGGAGGACTCTTTAAGGGAAACTGGCTCGTATACACGTTACACATGGGGAAAACCACGAAAACGCCCATGCAGCCAGCCCGTTCGTGGGATTTGAACCTTGGACCGAACTACCAGACATGCAGGTAACAGGTATGGGCCTATGAGGTAGTCGTTAACAATATCCACCCACACTTTCATGGAGAAGCGAGTTTGGAATGCATGTGGATTATGAGTTGCCCACACGTGCATGTTGTGGCTATTGAAGATGTTGTCCTGTGAGAAAGTTGCCTCGTCTGTGAATAGCACATCCGATGGAAAATCCGCCTGCGCCACACACTGCTGCAAGAACCAATGACAGAAATGAACTCAAAGAGGGTAATCTGTCTCTTGCAAGGCTTGGACTCTCTGCAAATGGTATGGGTGCAAACCATTTTCATGCAATACTCTCCAAACAGTGGAATGACTCAGCTGCAGACGACATGCAAATAGCTCTTGTACTTGTCTGAGGTGATTCATGCAAAATGCTCAAGATGGATTCTTCAATGTGAGTTTTTCGTGCACTTCATCTTCCACTCCTAGTGTCAGAGGTGGCTTCAAATGACCCGTTTTCACACAGAGGCTGATGCAACCTCTCGAACATTGTGTGCTTCGGCGTACGCCTGTTCGGAAACCGTTGCTGTTACAACCGTAGCACTGCTCTGCCGTTCCCATTAGCAGCACCATACACAAGATGCATGTCAGCTTTTTCCCTGTGTGTAAACTCACCCATCACGCTCAACATCAGAGTTGCGAATGATCCTCTGATGCATCGGACCGGCGTTTGTCCGGCTCACTACCGCCCTCTACCGCTGCATTGCCAGCCAATCACATCTGTAGTTCCTATTACTGTTACTGTTCCCTTTTTTGAACACTTATTGTGAATACTGTATTGCTGCAAAGAAGCACTTTGCGTTGATTTTTCTACATAAACACATTTTCCTCTCATGTCGTTTTTTTGCATTCCTGCCTTAACCCGTCATTTTAGACCCTACATTCCTATACAAAAAATGTATGTGTTAGTTCGCTCCACCACCCCTCCACGTTTGTCCCATGATCTATGAAACACCCTGTATATAGGTGAACAGAAATGGATATAAATTTTGAAATATAATAGAAGAAGCTTAAATTTGCAATGTTATTGATGTACTTTGGCATCAGAGACTAGGTCATGTAAACTATCAGAGATTGAGAGAATGAAGAAAATCTCATCAGTCATTGTATTAGGAAATTTAAAAATTTCAAAAAGATAATGTTTAGCCTTATACAATAGAAAAAATGATGCAAACTTCTTATGAAATTGTGAAATTCAAGCAATCTGAAGGGTTTTAAAATTATGGCACATAGATTTAGTTGGACCAATCAAGATATCAATAGATGGAGGTTGTTATTTTCTAACGACGCTAGAGGAATAAAGTAATTTCATGTTTGTGATTACAATTGACAAAAAGAGTGAAACTGCAGAATCTTTAATAAAGCTTATCACTCAAGAAAAAAGACAAACAGAAAAGAAACTACAAAGAATTTGCAGTGATAATGGCTGTGAATTCTTAGTTAAAAGCACAGAAGAATGTTTTAAGAAAATGGGAATTATACATGAACCTTCAATGCCTTATGCTCAGGAGAGTAATGGAAAAGTTGAATGGTTTAATCATATAACTGAAACTGCTAGAACTATGTTGATTGATCTGCTAGAATTATGTTGATTGATGCAGAATTATGAATAAACTTTTGGTGTGGAAGTGTTAAAGTAACTAGATATATGTGTGAATAATAGGAATCACTTGAAGGAAAAGTCAAGTTTGAAGGTCAGTTTAATAGTATAATTTCTAACTATTCTCACTTATCGGAGGTTAAAAAGCTTTATTATTTGAAATTAGTTCTACGAGGTATAGCAAAACAGATTGAAGCAGAAGATGAATTCTTTCCGTCAATATATATAAAGCATTAGAAATTTGCTCTGAAAATAAATGCTTAATTGTTGGCAGAAATAAATTAAAAATAATAAATAAAAATAATAACATGGAAAGATATAATAAAAATAATAAATAATTGTAATAATTCATTATAAACATGGGAAAAAGTAAATCTGGAAACTGCAGTCAAGCTCAGAAAATTACTTGACAATGCTTCTAGAAATATTAGAGCTCTTAAGCATTGGAACACTGAAAGGATTTTCGGATCTCGTATTGATAAATTTCATTCTCCCTAAGTTAGATAAAGAAACTTTTAAAATTATTCAAAAGAAGTTTAAATACTACTGAGCTTCATAAAGGGTTCACTTATCATAAGGAATTACTAATTAATGTTGATAATAAGGCTGAGGATTATTCTTTCTTCAAGGAATTTAAAAATGAAACAGAAGTGTTAGTTATTTTATGGAACCCAGACTTTTCACATCCAGCATAACTATGAAATTTCATAATTACTATACTAAGAGACTAATTTTGTCAAATATTGCTCGAATATTTGTTCTACTCAGTTTAATTGGACCAGTTATTATAAAAGCCAAAAATTTTTACGCAAAAGCTGTGGCGGTACTTTTCTATTTCGCCGGCGCAAATCTCGCCAATCAGACTTTATTTTCGACAACATACAGTATACACATAAAAAGTGTTAACAAATGTTAGTTCTAAGAATTTTTTATTTTGAAAGCATAAACATTATCCTTTAAAATTTTGTATAAAGCCAATAAATTTGTAAAAAGACATTATTTTAAGAATTTACTATGCTTTCATGGTTCAAAATCCTGATTCGCCGGTTTATATCACGTTACCCCAAGTGATCTCATCTCGCGTAAACTACGCTACAAAAATCTAATTGTCTCAATAATTATCTACATTAATTTCAAGTTAAATCTTAATTTGGAATACAAGTTTAAAGGCAAGAATTATTTCAATTCATACGAATAGCTTACTCAGAAATTATGTAAAACTGCAGTGCTTTACTTCGCTAGTGCATTCTCAATTAGAATTGATGAATTTAACTCTTGACTTGCCTGCGCCTTTTCTATATTTTCACCTTGGGGTGAGCGGTGTGATTGCTTCCTAGTTGACTTAATTACCGCGAATGGCCTTAGGGCATAAAATTTAACTATCTTGTAAAAATTCTACGTAATTATGTGCCAATATTGAAAGAAACAATCAATCTGATGAGAAGTGGCTGCGACTTGTTTTGAAAATGAGGTGTTAAAGGTTACCATTGAGGATATTCTGTTTGACATCAGTTGTACCATTATTAGCAAGTTTATTGCCTGCGCCGGCAAAACAGAAAAGTGCCACTTTGGCTTTTAAAATTTGACTGGAATTGATGTGCCTTCCAAAAAGGAATCTCATGAGTGGAGGAATTTTATCACTTTGATGCTGAAAATTAATATTGTAAGTATTAATAGGAAAATTTTATCTAGCAATGCTGTTAAAATTGAATTGCGTGATTTTCTAATGCTTCAAAATTTGCTTATGGAGCATGCATTCATGTGAAATGTAAATCACAATCAGGTTCCAGTTCAGTAGTTCGTTTGTTTATTGGAATCACTGCAATAAAACACTGAAATATTTTACTGGCCCTATGAGTAAATCGGGTTGAGAAACACTGATTTAGTCAGTCAAAGAAATTTCAAAATAACCTGCAGCACTCTTTTTGTGTGTGTATGTGTAAATGCTGAAAGCTCTGTAAAAATAACCCAAAACTTATGATCACTTAATGCAAATACATTTTACATTATGAGCACTTTGCTGAAATGATCTCTGAACACAATCAGCTGTATAGAATACTTTTTTTGAGGTGAGTTTGGCTTGCAATGCATGATGATGTGAAGTTCAGCAGATCTTGGTTAAACATAGTCATTAGATGTGCAAATTTTTCAATTTTCTGCTTCTGCTTTTCACACAATTAGTTTAAACTTCGCAGTGATCATCAGCGAAGATTAGTGTCACTAGCCTATTTGCTTCTGATAGATCACCATTTTGAGAATCTGGTGCTTTTTTCTGTGGTAGCTGAAATTCAGCTTTATGATATGTGCAGAATCATGTGGGAATTTGTAACTGAGGGTTGATGACAATTAAGGAAGCATAATAGTTTTAAAACATCATACATTCTTTTTGTTTAAAATCTTGATCAAGACAATCGTAACCCATTAGATACATAGCTTTCTACGCTTTTTGCAAGCCAGTAAATATGCTGTACAATGCACTTACTGCTTTGCAAAAAACAATAAATTATATTGCATTTTTCAAGTGATCTCATTCACATGTTAGCAGTAAGTTAAGCCATAATAAGTGCAAAGCAATTAAAAAAATTTATATGCAGACACACATATGCATAGAGATATACTCATCAAAAGTGTGTGTTTAATTAAATGAGTTAGCTTATGTCTTGAGTTCAATAAAAATTCATTTTGACATAAAAATGTATTTATAATCATTTAGAATATATATAAATGGTTCAGCTTATTTAAAATCCTCTGCATTACTACTCATCCTTTATTCACAAAAAGGGGGAAATTAATATATTTCGAGTGACAGGATTACTAATTAAAGTCCTCTTCTGCTTCCTGTGTCAATTTCATGATGTTTTTTATTTTTTTCATAAACCGTTTGTGAATAATACTTTTCTGTCTGCTGGGGAAATTTATATTTTCACTTAAGGTGTATTCTTGTTTTTTTTTTTTTTTTTTTTTTTTCATAAAGATTATTAAATTAGTTCTAGCTGTTAACTGAGTTTCAATAATCTTAAAGTATGACAGATGTATTTGTTTGCCACTAATAACATTACAACATTAATAGCACCATGTTGTATTTTTATGCATATCATTAAAAGTACTTTATTTTCCTAGAATGTGAAATGTTATCTAGTATTAGTTTTTCTCATACAAATCAGTTTAAATGCCTTAAAACATTTTTGACATTTTAGGAATACAACGTGAAGAAGAGAAAGTGAAACGGTCCTTAAAGGAAGCTGCTAAAAGGGGTGATACTGAAGTATGCAAAGTTCTGGCAAAAGAAATAGTACGAGCTAGAAAGGCCATTAATCGAATTTATACATCTAAAGCACAAATAAATTCTGTGCAGATGAGTATGAATCACCAACTAGGTAAGATAAAATTAGTTTTATCCTTGTTTCTTAAATAAATGCATTTATTTTGCATAGATTTTTTTTTTTTTTTTTTTTTTTTTTTTGCTTGCTATCTAAAATTGAGGCAAGCAAGTAACAAAGAACATTGGCTACAGTATCAGTAGAGGTTTCAGCAAAATAAATATAGTAGCATTCTGGCTGACATTTTGACATTTTTTAAAATTTATTTCTGGTGGACACTGTCTATCGTTTGCCTGCAGAGAGGTGCAGAATGGAGTCTGTTGAGCAAAGGGCTTGAACTTCCATCTGTGGACCTGTAGTATGTATGTCTTATCCACATTCCTAATAAGATTGTCTTTTGGGGATGGGAGCCTATCATAGTTCTCATTTTTAAATTCCTTAAGATTGATTTCTCATTTGTTGACTGTCTACATGAAGCCCTGCCCCTTTTTAAACTATCTCTGCTGTGATTAATGGTATATACTGCTCATTGTCTGATATAAAGACTTCCTTCATGAAGTCTTATGAACATAATAGAAGCTGATAGCTTTGAGATCTTGTTTTTCAGTATAGAACAGTTAAAAAATGAACCACAGAACTTCGCCAAGTTCATTCATATGATTATTTCTGACTGACTGTAGTTGGTCCTTGATTTAGAAATACCTTGACACCAATACCGATATATTTAACATCTGTCATATATTACAGAAATTTTAGCATGGCATGTATTTCTGCCTGTACAAGCAGGATTTAATACACAGCTTAGGAATCATATTCTTCAAGATGAATCTCTTTTGTATGTATAACACCTTATGATATGATATCACCATTACATTTTGTGTATTTTTTGTGCATTTTTTGGAATCATGTATATTTTGGAATCTTTTTTTCTATAACAGGATTGAAACTTCGGGCAATTATTTTTTTAAAAAGAGTTGTTGATCAGATATCTTTTACCAGTTCCTTTTAATGTGTTAGGTAAAATTAACTGCTTAAAGCAAAGTTTGCAGACTATATTTCCATTTTTTTTTGGCCAGTATATTTTCTTTGCAGTTTATTATAACACATAGGTAGCTGTATTGGCACAGTTTTCATGTTTATTTTGAAAAACTGGAAATTAGAATGTTCTCTGAATTTTCTGTGGTGTCTTATGTAAAGCTGACAGATAATGGCCATTTTTATGATACTGACATAATGTATGAAGCTGGAGAATAATATTGGCATCACCCCATTGATATTATATGCAAAGCAGCGAGCAAATGTTGGTTGTTACCACTTTAGTGTAAACATGCAGAGCAGCGGATAGAAGTCAGTATTACAAAACTGTTTTTGTTTTTAAAGTGGTAAAGTCTAAGTTGATGTCATGTTGGTCAAAATATTCATGTTGTGTAAAAGCTTGTGGCATGCTGCGTGTACAGTACAAAGTCTGAAATCTGGACGTCCATTATCCGGAATGATCTAAAATCCAGACCACAAAGCCACAAATATTTTTTTTAATTAATGCTTTATGCATGCGCTTTGATTTTTCCTTCCATAATAAAACATGTGGAGATTTTCTCTTAAAAATTCCGATTCTTAATTTCACTTAAGCACTAAGTAAAATACCTCGTTATGGAAAAAACAATCATGTAAGCATAAATTTATCAGATTAATAATTTAGCTGAGTATCTGCTTGGCATACATCTCAAACCAAAACATTCACCTATTTTATATCCCTTACGCCGGCCTGGCAAGTCATTATTTATTATATTTTGCTTTCATCACCGCATGTTTATCAATACGTGACAGCTTCAGTAATAACTCATGCTGTGATGTCTAAACTTTTTTTTATATTAGTAATTGAATAACAAGAGTATGGCAACCTTTTATGTTAACATTACGCTTGGCGATGATTATAGATTTTTAAATGCTCTAAAAAATGTTGACGAGAAAAATTCAACAAAAATTTATTTTCATATGCTAAAAATAGATTTTGTTAATAAAACGCACAGGCCAAAAGATTACATTTAGTGCTATTTTAATTAAGAATAACTGATATGTTATTCACCATAAATTCAGAAGTGGCAACAGAATATGTCAGCATCGAACGGCAGAATTTAGGGAAGACAAAATTTTTGGAATTTGGGAAAGCACCGAGCGACAAAATTAAGGGATGAAAAGTTTTTATGATTTAAGGAGAGCATTGGGATCCAAAGACACGGTGAAAAATTTAGAACTTAGGAAAGCGCTTTGTAGCAGAATTTAGGACCCGTACAGACTACACCAGGCGGTATCGTGCGTCGGCCCTAGATAAGTGGCCTTAAGTATATGTGGGAGTTTAATTATTCAGGACTCGAATTACTTTGAAGCATGTACAAGAAATAAACGTAGGTATAGTAAATAACTAAACTAATACAATTCAGGCTTAATTTAGTATGCAATAGGAGCAAGACAAAATTTAGCAAAACAACTTGGCTGGCATCGCCAATCTTGTGATACACAGCCAATAATGTATAACATGCACTATTAAGCTAGGCTAAAATTATCTTTACTGATTCTAAGGCATTCAAATTAATATAGCAGGCTGCACTGCTCCCTGATCTTCTAATTTGATCCAGCTTATTATTTTTTGCAGACTGTTATTATTACAGCAGTTTTATAAAAACTATAGTTGCATAGTTTAGTAAATATGTGTTGTGAACTTTTGATTATGTCGAAATGAGTTTCCAATTCTAGAGTTGCCAAAGGATCTACAAAGCAAAAACTTGTTTCGATGTCCATTAAACAAAAAAAAGTGAAATTGCTGCAAAAAAATGGATAAAGGCATATCCGTCTCAAAATTATGCGAGGAGTATGGCATTGGAAAGTCTACTGTATATGACACAAGAAAAAAGAAAAGGGAACTTTTTGAATTTTTTGTGGAAGTATCTTAAACAACTTACATTGAAAGAAATGTTTAATAATGTAAACAAATAAATATTAAGCTTTTTTGTAAATTTTGATACCCGTTAGATCCTAATTGCTGTTTATTTCATAAATTACAGTTTCATATTTTTAATTGTGTAAATCTGCATGCCATCTTACCAGATTTAAATTGATGATCTATTATCCAGAAAAATCCCTAATCCAGAACCGCTGAAGTCCCGACCATTTGGATTTTGGACTTCCGGATTTCGGTACTGTATATCAGAATTTTCCATTTCTAGCTTTTAGTAAATATGTGTTGCATAGTTAACCAATGTTTCAACTGAATTTGGTGATTGTGGTGAAAAGAATGTTTGACATGTTCAAATGAAAATTTAGCTTATATAGACCTTTTAGATGCCTCTAAAATACACATAGGAAGAATTTGAGGAATTTTGCCATTGCCAAGTGATACAAAAAAATCAAATGATAATATTCACACACACACTCAAAAAGTGTGTTTATTGCATTTATGGATATCAAAGTGTTTGTTTCTTTATATAGAACATGGAATTCTAGTTAATGAAAGTAACTGAGACTACAGCTCAGCCACGTAATAAAAATTTCTGGATTATTGGGTTATTTTTTTCTGTAGGCTGAATAAATGTATAATACAGTCAAAAGTCTTGAATCCGGAATGATCTATAATCTGGACCTCAAAGCTACAAACTTTCTGCGCATGTGTCAATGCATAATGCGTTAATGCATGTGCATAATACCTTTATGCATGCACATAATGCATTTACGCATGCGCATTTAATGTATAACGGACGGTATAAGCTAAGCTAAAATTATCTAATTATTTATTTCAGTTAATGTTGCAGATTGCATTGTTCCTTAATCTTCTAATTGGATCCGGCAGACTGTTAGAGCAATTTTATAAAAGTAAGCTTAAACTTTCGATTATGTCAAAAAGAATTTCCAATTCTGGAGCTACCAAACGATCCACAAAGCGAAAGTATGTTTCGATGTCCATCAAACAAAAAGTGGAATTGGTGCAATAAATGGATAAAGGCATATCCTTTGATTCTCTAACCAATCCGAAATCTGTTTATAAATTTCACGCTGCTCTGTGGGGGGGGGGGACGCGGTGCGCAATGAACTTGAAGTTGATCTGTCAGCACTATCTTATCTTCAGGGCAGATGTTTTTATTTTATTCGGCTTATAATTCCGTACTAAATGTAGTATTTCATCTCGATGTACTCCGTCTTTGATATGATTTAAATCAATTCCTCGTCATTATAAATATCATGAATACACAAATAGTTTTCTGGTTGCAATTTTCTAATTTTGACTATTGTATGTATGCTTTACGCATGTGCGCATTGAAGAAATGTTTATAAAGTAAACAATAAATATTAAGCTTTTTTTTTTGTAAATTCTGATACCCTTTAGATCATAATTGCTCTGTATTTCATAAATTACGGTTTCATATTTTAAATTTTATAATTTCTGCACGCCATCTTACCAGATTTAAACTGATGATCTATCCGGAAAAACTGATAATCCGGAATCACCGAAGTCCCGACGAGTCCGGATTAAAGATTGTAGAATGCAAATGAGTGAATTTTATTTTTTCGTTTGCTTTATTTCAGTTAAAGGACATAATTATTTTGAAAAAATTAATAGTGAAGTTAGATTTTTTTCTATTTAGGTAAAATAATACATTAAAAATAATTTTTATATACATTCTTCCTAAAATTAATCAAATAATTTAGTCCCCCCCATGAATAGATAATAGTTTAGTCTCTTTTCCCCCCTAGTAGTGTTATCTTAATTTTATGACTGACTAATAATTTACATAGAAAACAGAACAATATAACTATGCGTAAATATATATTTGCTTTTCCATTCATGTTTATTCACTGTGTGTTTGCTCAATGATACATCACGACATATTTCATAAGTAAATGAGTTAAAAGTGTACAACATGCTTGCAATAAATTTTATTATATTCTAAGTCAATATGCATATTGTATCATTTATCTAAAATACTAAATAACTTCTTTAAAATATTGTTACGAAATGTCAAGGCGTGGTGAGATTTCTTCCCCGCAAAGCAGTTTTAGGGTTGCCATAAAATGGCAAGATAATGCAGGGTTGCCACATTTGGCAAGAAATCACCCATTTGGTGACAAAATTGGCGATATGCCCTGGACTGATGGAGAACCTTCTGGAACGAATTCTTACCATTTTAGCCCAGAATGTTCTCGAACACAAGCCAAAAGCTATATAAACCCTGCTGGTCCGCAGTCAGGGAGTGTATGTGCCTCACATAGAGTGCGGGAGTGCGTGCCTCGTCGAGAGGGCGAGTCAGAGTGCTTCGTCTGGAGTGTGAGATTGTCAGTATTGAGTTGGTGTCTCATCTAACGAGTCAATCCCTGCGGAGTCGAACGAGTTGACAGCCGGGCAGTGAGTGCTGAGTGGGTCGTCAAGCTTACCGAGGGAGTCTCTTAGTGTATTGCAGTGAAGCTGTCTCTTCCGTGATAACCTGAAGGCTGTGTCGCTGATCAAGTTAACGTGTTTATAGTAGTTCATCGATGACTGTAAAACGTGTTTTGGAGCTGTCCTGACACTACTGCAAGTAAAGTGTGTTACGATACTTCATCAAGTGTTGTCGTTATTCACTCCAAATCCACATGAATCCCGTACCGAAGGAAGAAAATAACGTAACAACTGGTGTCAGAAAAGAAAACCGTAACAATATGTACTGTGTTTTTTCGTTATTTAAACTTATTGAAAAAACTTTAACAAATTAATTAACTATGAAAATAATTTTAAATAGCCTCGAGAGAAGTAATCTAGATAAGTGAATTATACTCTATATGTATTGTTCAAGTACTTTTTAGCAGAGATTTCTAACGCATGTGACTGGAATAAAGCCTTCATGGATATTTATAAAATTATGAATATAAATGTCTTTTCCGTATATATTAATAGTATGTTCTTACTAGAAAACTGACTTAAAAGCTTATTTTATGAGTTAATGGGCATAATTTGAATAAAATATATTTTTACTTCTGCAATTTTTATGAATTAATCAATTCAGTCATTTGCATTGGAAATACCAGAAGAAAATTCCATTAAAATTTAGAACATATATATATATTCAATCCAATTTGAAACTTTATTTCGAAATATATACAGAGGGTGTTTACAGATTTTTGTAATGATTTAATGTTCTCCATGACTTTAATTTTAAAAATAAACGTGACTGGCATCAAAGTGGAATAAGGTTTAATTATCATCTCCAGCATTAGAAATTTTCTTTTCTTGAAAATGTCGCTGAAAAATGAACAAGGAATCGAAGGTTATATTTTTGCACTGTCCAAAGAAAAATACTCTTATTCAATTATTAAAAAAAAGATGTGAAAAAGCATTTTTTAATGTCACAGTTTACATTTAACTGGGAAAAAGGCAAAAAATGCATAGCCAACAAAGGTATGTACAGCTCTTATTAAATCTAGATCTAGAAAATCCAGACCCCCAAAGAGCTATTGCAAAATCTTTAAATTTCTCTGCAGGAACTGTGAACAAAATTATAAAATCTTAATGCCGAAACATGTTTCTCAACATAAGACTATGTGCAGATTGCTTTATGAAAATTATTTGGCAGGTGAAAAATGAAAATATATAGTTACAATGAGGCTTAGCTATACTTATCTGATTGCAGTAGAAAAAAGATCGCTTCATTGCCTAAAAGGAGGAGAAAAATCTTGGTTTAGGGAAAACAAGGAAAGTTTTTCTAAAGGTTTTTATGGTTATTACTGGATTCTCTTATAACGGAAACTTAAAATACGGAAAGTAGAAAAAAATGTCAAAATTAATTCAGACTACTATCAGAAATATGTTTTGGTGCCTATTTTTAAAGAAGAAATTCTATCTCATCCAAACAATCTTCACTGTATTAAGGTTAATCAGGATAAGACTCCAAGTCATACCTCTAGATCTACTGCTCTGGTTTTGAAAAAGTGAGAAAGGAAACCGGAATTTAAGCTATTCCCTTTGAATGCATTCCACCCAATTCCTCTGATGTGTCTCCTATGGATTAGTGTGCATTTGGACTTTTAAAACAAGCTCTTTATAAGCAGCATCTCAAAACATTGGATGGATTCTAGAGGATTGTGAGGGAGGTGTGGAAAGACATCAACCTTGATGTTTTAAGAAAAGACTTTTATCTTGGAAATCAAGATGTAATATGATAGTTCAACAAAAGGGCTATCAGATTGAACATATTAGAAAATAAAATTCTAAGGTTTGTTTTATATAAATCTTTGCAAAATCGTTGCAAAAATGTGTGAACAAACACCCTCTGTTTATATACGTAGGTTTCCTTTCTTGTGTCTTTAACCTCCAACTACATATATAAATAGAAAAATAATTAGAGAGGAAAAAAGATTAAAACATATCGTTGTGTTAATTCAAATAGTTGAGGTTATTCCATCAGTCCTTTCAGATTTAAATTTGAATACTTATTTTAAGAATACATGTCTTGGTATTTTTTCTAGAAGTTAAGATTTTTTGCAGATTGATGAAATCAGTTATGTTAGCACTATAGAAGGTGCATGTAATGTTCATTATTTTTCTTGGAAGTTTTGAAAAGGCTTTCTATTTACTTTCGAGGTATTGGGTTTCAAATTGTATGAATATTTTCTTCACGCAAACAAGATGGTGCATGTTATAGAGAAAATAAACAATCTTGAGTTTTACTAATTCTTAATATTTCAGTGTATAAGGGTGTTTTCCCTTCTAATTTTATTTGATTATGTACCATAAAAGTAAGCAAAACCTTTTCTGACGTACTAAAAAAATTTGCAATGTATTTATTTTTTTTTACGTAAATGATAATTTCCTTTGAAAAAATTCTTAAGAAGTCATTTCTTTTCTTTTACCTTCATAAAGATGTTTAAAAATGTCTAATTTTGTTCATCAAGTGTACATTATTAACTGGTATGCTGTCATTTTATCATGTTATGATCTGAAACTGTATTTTCATTCATTTTCACCTGTTGCTTAATAGTGTTTCTTTTTCCTTTATTTATTTCCTTTAACACGTAGCCATTGTAAAATAAGCTATTTAATTTCAGTTTTCTTTTGTTCTTTGATATTTTTTCTGCAGCAACACTACGTGTTGCGGGGTCATTGGAAAAGAGCACTGATGTCATGAAGAGCATGCAGAATCTCCTAAAAGTTCCTGAAATATCTAAAACTATGCAAGAATTGTCCAAAGAAATGATGAAAGTAATGATGTGCATATTTTTATCACTTCATTGCCAAAATCCTAAGGAAAATATTTGTCATTTTTATATGGTCTATCTTTCATCATTCTTGTAAACATATTAAACTTAAATTTTTTATTTAAATGACAAAAATTCTAAGTTTCTTTTATATTTGCATTAAAAATTTTTACCTCTGAAAATTATATACACTTGGCAGCAGCTTTTACACGTGTTAACTGATATGTTTAATGATTTTCTGCTGCCTATAAAACTAAAATATTTTCTTATATAAAGTTATTCGTGAAGCTCCTCATTTTCAAAGCAAGTATTTTCTACAAGGTTTTTTTGCCAACACAGCAAGCATTTTTTTATTTAATTTTTTTTTTATAAAAATTTTCTGTATTTTTGTGTATGAGAAATGTACTGTAAAAATGTCTTTTTTAAATAACAGTGTAAGTAATAATAGGCAAACTTAATCTACCCTCTTACTGGAATTAAAATTAATGTGACTGACATTCACATCTCCTAACATCTAGTGCTGAATATTTGGAAAACCTACATATGTATTGACATTAAGAATTCTTTTACTGTTTTAAAAATATCACTAATTTGCTTTTTCAGAAAATAGTCCAAGTCCACTTTCAACCTAGTTTGTCATGTTTTGCAATGTATACAAAGTGTTTGAAAAATGGCTACTTGTGTATTTCATTTGATCGTAGACATAAGCTTAAATTGCAAAGTTTCTTAAAATATGGTAGAGGATTTCATGAAAGCATTTTAAACAGTATAATGAGAGAATTCTGTCAAAAATGTCTTAACATTTTGCATAGCCTCTGCATGAAAAATAAACTTTTTCGTACGAGAAACGATAACTACTGAATGTTACATTACAATTTTGGAACAATTTGTCAGCACTCAACTAGCGTTGGAGATCGATCAGGTATCGACTGGTTCATGCAGGATGGGGCTCGACCACATCGAACAGATAAAGTTTTTCGCTTTCTTCATGAATACTACTTTGGGAATAGAGTAATTGCATTAGATTATCCGCAATTTACTGACACAGGAATAGCTTGGCCTCCATATTCTCCCGATCTGAGTGCTTTTGACTTGTTTCTGTGCGGCGCATTGAAAGAAACTGTCTATCGAAACAATCCCGCTACTCTAGATGAGCTTGAATTGTTATTGGCATTGCATGTGATTCCATTTCCCTTGAGGCATTGCAAGATATGATGTCAAATTTCCTTGTTCGTTTATGCCACCTCATTGTTTCGAATGGTGAATATTTTGAAAAAATTGTATTTTGATTGCTAAGGCTGCTTCCCTTTATTTTATTTATTTATTTTTTTAGACTCCTTTCAGTGAAAACGTTTTCAGTGCAGAGCGCCATCTGTTAACAATTTTCACAACTAAATTTTCTGAACTTCTGTCATTTTTACAGTTTTGCTAATGAACGTACAGTTTACCGCATAATTCTATCGATCTTTGTTGTAGAGATATTTAATTTTGAAATCAGGGCTTATTGCTGATCACCCTGTACTATTAATACATATATATATGTATGTGTGTGTCTATAGATATACATACTCGATAATTACTATTGCTTAGACAAACAATTATATCAAGAGAGTAGTTAGTAATACAAAGTATTCCTAAGTATTTACTTGAAAGAAAAGGTAGTCATTTGATGAGAGTTTCAAAGTGACTGCTTCTGCAAGGATGGCTTTGTGAAAATGCATGGTAGACCTCAAATTAATAATCCCCCAATTATATGAAATCACATTTATGCAAGTGTGCAAAAGTCTTTATATTCAAACTGAAATCTGCTAATTAGATATTAAGGATTTGTTAACAATTTCTTCTTTAGCAGACCCATACTTTTTGCATTAAACAATGTATGCCAAAATAAAAAAGATTAAGATATTTTTTGTGAATTCTTAGTCACTGCATTTTTGGTTTGCATTTTGCTCTTGAGACTACTAGGCTATTCTGGTGCAGGGAAATTTGAAAAATCAACTTTTGCCCTTCCCATCATTCTAATTGCATATTTTCTGTTTGTTATTAGGCATGCTAACTTCTTAACCATAAGAGCACACTCCAATAATTTCTTACAGGATTAATCATGCTGTTTTTATTGCATGTAGTCTCATATTTATCCCTAGGCTGGTATTATTGAAGAAATGATGGAAGATACATTTGAAAGTTTAGATGACCAAGAAGAACTTGAAGAAGAAGCCCAGGAAGAAGTTGATAAAGTTCTTTGGGAATTAACAGCTGGTGAGAAATTTCTCTTAAAATCTGAATTTTATATTGTTCAAATATTTTTGATTCAGGTAGTATGTTCTTTTAGCTTAGTACTTCCATAAATGCATTAAAGGGTTATTCTAGTGAAGCTTAAAATTTACCATCATATAAAGCGGTGATTTCCAACAGGATTGGTACCACCCATAGAGATGTAAGAGTGCATCGAGAACCAGCTGTTATCTGCTTGTGCGCTCTTAAGAACATGCTGAAAAGTTTGATTAATGCAGCACAAAGTCTGAGATTGTTGGGAAGTTGTACTTCATTAATCTAACTTTACATTGTTGAAATCATTGAAACTTACGATTCTGGTTTCAGATATATCCAGAAATTATCAGTCTAAACCTAGAAAAGGGTTATAGAAATGATAAAATTATTGTTTATTATTTCTTTAAGGAAGGTTTTTTGTAGGGGGTTTGGTTTATTTAATTATGGCAAAGCACACTAGGGCTATCTACCTAAGGGGAGAGAGTTGCCTTCGTGGAGGACTTTCTTAGGGGAACTGGCTCATATACACGTTATGCATGGGGAAAACCACAAAAATGCTCATGCAGCCAACCTGTTCACGGGATTCGAACCTCGGACTGAACTACCAGTGTTGAGTGACTTTACCGCTCGGCCGCTGGTGGGCTTTTTGTAGGTGGGGGATCGTCACCAAGTGAAATTAAAATGTGACTTGAAACCCAAGTGTCAGTATTTTCTGAATTTCAAACCATACTACAGATATCCACTATTCAATTCATAGATCAATAATTGAGGCATTATCATTGCGGTGTTAAACTTCAATTATACCATCTTCACAAGCATTTCTTTGTGTCATTCTGTTATCAGAAAATTCCATGTTTTATTTACAGTATTTGAAAACCTACAGATTTGTGGCTTTCTCATCATGAAATTTTGTAATTGGCTTTGCATCCAAGCATTATAAAAATAAGCTCAGATACATCCTTTCAGGATTTTGCTATACCGCCATATATCATATTTTATATTAAAATATTTCTAGAATTCATGGATGATCGTACTGCTGCATAAGTTTCATTGTGCACAAAGTTCTGATAACCATTGGTTGATTGGTGGATGTGTAGTTTTGAGGGAAAATAAAACAGAGATATTATCATTTACTGAAAATTGTTATTTTTAAACTAATATGCTGCTGGCCACCGTAAATGCAACACCCTGAAGGAAGCATGCAAATAACATGAAATTTATAACATGCATTAGCGGAGGTGAGATATGCAAATGATTAGAATTTCAGCGCAGACCCATATCACATGCGCCACTTCAAATCTCTATTTAAGGCTTGGAGTTTTCGATAATTTCAAGTTCGGCAATTGTGTTTTCCTTGTGGTTTAAAAAAAAAAAAATGATCAATTATACCTCATAGTAACCAACAATCATCTTTTGATCAAGTATCCGAGTTCAACAGAGGAAGGATAGTGTCCTACCGAGAGTGTGGATTACCTTTCAGGGAAATCGGTAGTCGTGTTGGAGGAAACCAAGCAACTGTAATGCAGATATGTGGCCGTTGGATGCAGGAGGGTACGACGGACCGACGTGTTCGATCGCATCCACCTCAGTGCACCACTTCACGTGATGACAGGAACATTGTGCACATGGCAGTGACAGATCGATCAGTTACATCACGAACCATAGCATACCACATTCAGTCTGTAACGCATAATCCAGTGTCTACACGAACCATTCGATGCCGTTTATAGCAGAGTGGTCTGTCTGCAAGACGTCCATTGTTTCGTCTACCATGAAAGAAAGATGTGGACGGCAGAATGGAATGAAATTGTCTTTACTGACGAATCACGCTTCTGTCTGGAACACCATGATGGTCAGATTCGAGTCTGGAGGCACTGTGGAGAGAGGATGCTGAACAGCTGCGTTATGCACCGCCACACTGGTTCATCACCAGGTATTATGGTATGGGGCAGTATTGGATATCACTTTAGCACTCCTCTAATGCGCATTGCCGGTACTTTAAATAGTCAGTGCTACATCTCTGAGGTGTGGAGCCAGTTGTCCTTCCTTACCTTCAGGGCTGGCCCACAGCCATATTTCAATAGGATAATGCGTGACCACACATGTGTACACATTGTCCAAGGGTTCTTCGTCAATCGCCAGATTGAATTGTTTGCCTGGCCGGCTCGCTCCAAATATTTCGCCGATAGAAAACATACTGATTCTGGAAGGAATCACACTTCACAGAAGTCTATAAATTTAATCATTTGATACTTGGTCAACCTGTTATCTACTAAATAAATTTTGGTATGATATCTCTTGTCTTTCTTTGTGTTGCAGTTTAGGTGGCCAGCAGTGTAATAATAGGTGAAACCAAAAAATCAGCTGCTTCAGATGAAAATGTTAAGTAAGGAAAATTTTGCTGCATTAACTTAAATTCCTTGGAATCTAATTCTCTCTGCTCTATGCCAACAAAAGAAAACCAGTATGATCAACAGCCCACTCCAGATAAGTATGTCTTGAGGCTTATTATTTAGGCTCTGTGGAACAATGCTATTCTTGCCACAACCATGTAAGGGCTCGAAATGTGCTCATTTCTAACGTCTGTACAGCACTTATAAATGTATTATTAACCACAGTGTGATTTCTTAACCAGCAGGTGTTTGTAAGTGAAATACAGGAATTTCAGTTAAGAGAAAAAAATCTATGCCACTCCTGTGTTTCCTGTACATATTATATTTTCCATTCCTAGACTTTGAAAGGAAATTTTTTTCTGGTGATGAAGATTTTGGGTTTTATATTTTACTAAATCAAATGCATGTTTCAACAAATAGTTCTTGATGTCTTTTAACCCTTACGAAGCCAGGCCCTTCACTAACCTCTATGCTTAAAATGCTGAAGCACATGAAATTCCATTTGAGATCCACAAGAATTGCTTACCCTTCCTTCATGAATGAACAAAGAGGTTTGAAAGTTTTAAATGATATCTGGTCTAGTTCTAACAAAGAGCTGTCATTTGCCTGAGCATATTTAAAGAAACTATAGAAGGATCTTTTTATGACAAGCTGTATACAAGAAAATAAATAAATTAAAAGCATTTGGGAAACCAATCTTAGGCTGTTGCGTATTTTAGGGGAAGGGCAGAAAGAAGATCATAGAGATCTTGGCCATTCAAGCAACTGTGGTTGTAGATTTGTTTGTAATACGTTTTTGACTAGTACATGAATAAGTAATAGCATGTGCAATGCACCACCACAGTGTGTGTGTATGTTCTGGCTCTCTGAACAAAGCTAATATTTACAAGTGTGCACTGTTCATGACTAGATTTAGTGCTCATGCAGAGTATTGAATCTATGCATGTTTTGCAAGTTCATTAAACATTACTGTAAATACAATGTGCCCATAAAGTGAAAAGTGAAAGAATAAATGTATGTATAGAAAGAGTGATATCTCAACTGTTATTAAAGCCAGTTTAAACTGGTTATTTTGTCATTTGCTTATCAAAACACTAGTGTTATTTTCATTTTCTGAGAAGACATTGTGCAAAAAAATTTGCTTCGAGATGGAACAATGTTATAACATTAAATTTCGTTACAAATTAGGTAAACCTGCTACTGAAATGTTAGAGATGATTTGAACAGTAAATGGTGATGCATTTTTATCAACACCACCAAATGTATGAATGATACAACTCCTTTAAATATGACCAAAGTTTTGAAGAAGAAACAAAGGTAGGGTGCCCTTTAACTTCACAGAATAAAGAAAATGTAAAGAAAATTCATTGGACATATTCACCATGAATTTTCCCCTGAAAATCAATTAGTTATTCAGTATTCTTATCAGAAGGTGCTTTTCCGATTAAGAAACAGGATATAAGGCAAGTTAGGAAGGAACTTTTTAGATCTGAGCAATGGTTTCTTTTACATGATAATATTAGGCCCCTTACAACATTGTCTGTACAACAGTATCTTGCTAAGCATGCAGTGATAAATTATCCACCATATTCTCCCGACTTATCTCCAGCTGATTTTTTTTTTCCCTTTTTCCGAAGCTGGCCATGAAAGAATAGAAATTTTAAAATGTCTCGGATATTAAATCATGGTACATAATGATTACATAAATGGTACATGTAGTTTGTGAACAGTTTGTTCCAACACCTATAAACAGTGTTTCAAATACCTGAAGAAATGCTGGAAATTTTTTGTAGACACCTCTGGCAATTATTTTGAAGGAGATAAATTTATTTAAAAGTGAGGCAATCTTTTTCTTATTTATAAGAAATTGTCCAGTTGCTTTATAGGTGCACCTTGTATGTTTTTTTTTTTTTTTTTTTTTTTGGGGGCCTTATGGGATTGTTTCAAAGTTCCTTCAGAGCAAATATGAACCTAAAACTTCTGTGCACTATCTACAGATTACATTCAAAGGAGAACTTAAATATACCTTCTTATTAATTTTTTGGGGGGTCCGTAATAACTTTGCACAGAGATAAAAGTCATTATTATTATTTTTATTATTATTTTTTTATTTTTTTTATTATTTTTTTTTTTTTTTTTTTTCCAACCGATATTTGAAGAGGGAGGTGATGTGAAATTCCAATTAACTTTAAGTTTTTTGTTTTAAGTTGTATGTTATGTTGACTACAGGTGATTCTGTTTTGATCACAGCTAATTTTATTATTGATTTATTACTGAAAGTTATAATCACGTATTATAAGGAAGGTATTTCTTATAAATTTCCTTATTTCAACATTTTTTCATATAAGCATGGTTTAGGCTTATAGTAACATGAATCAATTTTAGTTTGATGTCCATCTCTATCTCTCCATTCACAGAGTTGTGCAAATTCAGTCAAATGGGTAGTCATGAAATTTCATATTAAACTTTGAATACCTCAATTCTGTCAAATTTTGGTAAAAATATGTAACCGTAAGTGGCAGTTTATTGATGTCACTTTTTCTACCATTTTTCAGTACAATTAAAAATTAAATAAAAACTATTTTAAATATATGATTATTATTCATATTTTTGCAACATTTTCTTTCTCTGGATATTGTTTTCATGATTGCTTCCTACACAATATAATGGTTAGGGGAGCCTACCGCAATGCTGAAGGACCCAGGTTTGAATCCCAGAGTTGGCATAGTTGTAACTGTCCTCTCTTCACAGTAGGCAATGGTGGCCACCTATTAGGTGTCTCCACAATAAAATGGCCGCCACTTCTGGACTTGGAAGTGGCGAATGCTGTATGGGCCAGAGCCAGCCATTAGATAAAAAAAGTTTTCATGGTTAGGGGGCTTAAATGTAATTTTAAAAATTCCAATTTACATGATTTGAATAAATTTACATCAATTTAAATAATTCTTAATAAAAAATTTCTATATTGCAAACTATTTATAAAACAACTTAGATAAATTTAAATTCAAATTTTAAATTATAATAATAAATTGAGTTTAATTATTATAAAATAAGTAAATAATTAAATTATAATTAATAATTTGAGTAATATGGTTTGATCCTGTGGTGGCCACAGCAGATTTTGTTAAGCAGATAACCACATTTTGAATTCATAGAAAAAATGTATGCAATTTAATGTTGAGTATTTGATATATGGTTTTATTCAGTCACCTTCAAATAAGACTTTAGTAATGTGTCTGGTTTGCCATAGAGTTTTCTCAAATAAAGCTATGAAATGTTCAAAATTAGAACATTTGACCAATAAATCGTAACAAAAATAAAAATGTGTCTCACCTTCAAGTACTCAAAGAACAACATTCGAGATGATGAACTTCCATTGCTCACTGGAATTACATAATTACAGCTGTTAAGACTGGAAGCAGAGCTGTCGGTGATAGATTGGGAAACTTCATGGTCAGATGACAAATGCTTCAATCATTTACTCTTGCACACAATTCATTGGCTGTAAAAAGATAATCTGTCAGATAAAAGATTTTGTTATCTTTTTTTCATTTCATTTGCATCATCATAGTTAGCCGAGAGAATTTAGCATAGTCAGCAATTTACTAACAGAGAAAAGAAAACAGATTGAGAGAGGACACAACTTGAAATTTGTTGATGACAAATATGGCACCAAATATTGAAAATTTATGGTCATTCCATGAAGCTCAGCCCTCTCACTAATAATATTTTATTCCTTTTTTAATAATATATGTTAATCAAACTTAGGAATGCTAGTAGAGGAATATGCTAGTGTGTTAATATCTTTTAATAAAGTAATTTTAAAAATCTCTCCTTGTTATATGCTAGTGTGTTAATATCTTTTAATAAAGTAATTTTAAAAATCTCTCCTTGTTGTTCAATATACAATTTATAATATCCATATATAGTGCAGTAATGTTCACCTAAAAGATGCACCTATGAATCACTGTTTGGAAAAGTGGGCTACACTATTGATTTCAAGCATGGAAGTTGGTGTTTCTTTTCTGCCTGGAAAGGGGTTAGTGGGTAATTCCTCCCCCCCCCCAAAAAAAAGGGAGCAGTAGGCCAAAAAAGTTAGGAACCTATGATATAATGGATGTCTTAAATTTCAGCTCCATAAGAATATGTCACTGAATAACAAAAAATTTCTCTTAATTTATTTTTGTAGTCTTATTTAAAGTTGCATGTTTCAATTTTAGGTCAACTGGGTACTGCCCCAGCTGCAGTTTCTGAATCATTGCCTGAAACAGAACTTGAAGGAGCAGCAGCAGCAGCTGCATCTTCTAGTCATGATGCAGACCTTTCTGATATGCAGGAGAGACTTGAATTACTGAGAAGTTAACCATTGTATGCTTGACTTTCATGAAAATTTGCTTCACGAAAGTCTGTTGCATTTTTGCTGTGTGAACTATGCAATTCTACAAATAATGCATCTGGGAGGGGGACTTTTTTTACATTGCTGAACTTTAGTTGTTACCAGCATCATCTGTTTTGGTTTATATGATATTCATTAAAATATGTAAATCTTAAATTAGTGTATGTATATTAGAATATGAAATTCAGTTAGAGTATTTTTTAATAAAATTAAATAATGTTAATAAAATTGTGATGCTGGAAGTGCTAATTTAATTGCTAATTGTGGATTTTTAATTTATCAGTGCAAGTTATAATGACTTTCATGCAAATCTTATGCTTAGGAGTATTTGCCTTTCTTATGAATTGATGTATCATTGAAAGATATCAACATTTAATACTCTAAACTTGTAGTATTCTTTTTTAAAAGGCTTAGAGTATTTTCTAAAATTCTAATATTACAGATCTTCCTGCAGTTTTATGTAAAAGCAGATAAAATTATCTCTAAGATTTTCTTTCTGCAACCTGAAATTAAAATCTAAATATGGCATAGCAATCTTGTGAAAAGTATGCATGCATACAAAGCTTAAATATAAGTACTGTATTTTAAAAATGTAAAAAACAAGAATAGCTATGTGTGTACATATTAAAACATGATTTCAGAATGAATAAAACATTTTATATTTCTTTACTTTTGATTTTAAATTAAAATAGAATTGTAAAATTATATATGACTTTTATTTACTTACTTAAATTGATCATGCTACTTATATAATAAAATAGCATGAGCAGTGAGAATGTTTAACTCAAATTACGTTTTGACACAGTAAATTATGACTGTATTTTATAATAAGTGAAGAAAGAGTAAGGAAAAAAGGGTATATGGTGGTTAAAATCATTTTACAATTTGCTTTTGTAAATCTTGCCAAAAAGTAGTTGGGATGAATACTAGTCATAGACGTATATTGATTTTGCAAATTCATATCTATATCTGGATAGGGAGGTTTGTTCTTGACTGCAATACAAGATTCCCTCTCCTGCCCTGATTTATTTCTAAAATTCTTATTTTGCTAGCAAAATAATAGTTTAAGCCAACTGCTATAAAGGTTGAAAACTTATATAGAAGCCTTTCAGATTTAATATGACTGTGCATCAAACTATCTTTTGTTACTGTCTCAGCAAAGAAATTCTCTTTCAAATAATAATGATCTTCACATACTTATTTTTAGTAGATTAGCAGCTATGTATGACATCTGTTGGGTAATACTAGTTTAGAAAGCATTTCTTGTGATTGAGTTAACTCAATGAAAGTACAACAGAGATTTGTATTTGTTCTTATAAAGTGGCAAAATGTATATTTGGCAGATTTGGTTGTGACATAAATAATATACTATTTACTGTACTTAAAATTATATAGTCATAATGAATTAAGCCAATCTGTAGAAACTCGAACAAAAGGAAGAAACCTAAACCAAACCGAGTGCTGAACAGGCTATTTTTTCAATCATCATGCATTGATACAAATTTCATAAAAGTGTGTGAGATATTAATATTTGTTGGAAATCAGTTTCTGCGGTATTTAAAAATATATGTAGGTAGTGTTTCATCAAGTAAGAACACATGGCATTGATTTTTTTGGTTATTAAAATAGTATATATTTTCCGTGAAAACTAAATTTTAGTAATATTAAATATTCATCTTCGCACATTATTTCTTGAAATGTTAAAACATTTTTTGTGAAGAATATATTTCTGCAAATAAAAAATAATTTTCTCAAAGGTATTTTGCAGATTTTCATAAGAAAGTCTCTTTTGAAAGTATAAAGGGACTTTAAAATTCATACTTTTTGTTTCCAGGAAATATGGTTACTGGAACTAGTCAAATAGCTTTTCAGTGTTTTAACATCATAATTTAGAAATTTATAAGGTTTGTACCCAGCAGTGCTGAGGCAAATATTTTGCATTTTGGGAAGTTTTTCTAAGCATTTGTTTGGGAAACTGAAAAGTATGACAATTTATAGTGTTCATATACATATTCAGTCAGTTTCTTATGGCAAACTAAAGTCATAATTTGCTGTTTAAAAAAATTATATATTCAAATAATCTCTAAATTAATTAAGATTAAACAGAAGTATCTAGCTAATACTGAGCCTTTTTTTTATAGTTTATATAAAAAATATTAGAAAGTATAGTGTTATGTGCATCTTTATTTGAATAACTGCAATAAATTTTTCTTTGAATAATACCCAAGTGTTATCCTTAGTTTTTATACATTAAATTCTTAATTTTAATAACTATGTTTGCAATTTTTTATGTATTTATCTGTACAATCTGTTGATGTGAACAAAGGTAATTAAAATAGAAGCAGATTAAATATATTTAGATCTAATATTCTGAGTCAGAAACTAGATGAAACCTGACTTCTAACCAATAGAAATATCCAGAAAAGAATATGTTTTTCCCTGTTCTATACTGAAGATTGATAAAGCATAGATATATTTTAATGTAATTGCTGTAGTGATAATAAATATTTTGAAATTACTGAGTGAGCTGATCATGTTGGTAGAATCCTCATTCCTTATATTAAAATGTGTTTGAATTTTTCTTGATGAGAAACAAACTTGAATTTTCTTTTAGAAGTTGATTGGTCAAAATTTCATTTAAAAAAAATCTGCATCTTTGTGCCAATTAAACACCTCATATATATATTACATACACCCTATATATATATATAGGATGTAAAATATGTAAAGCAAACTATTACCATTAATTTTGCAATATCACTTTTATTCCTCATTTTAATTTTGATGTTTCCCCTTCTTATCCGTTGCATAATGATGGTAATAGCTAATTCAGAACTTTAATACTCAAAATTTCCAGAACTGAAACCTTTCTCTTAAACTAAGTTTCTGTATTGGATAACTAGCACTCTGCCTAGCTAGACTGTTCTTTGTTGCAATTACAATGAGAGAAATATTAGTTTAATATGCTACAATAGGGTTCATAGCGGTCCTTAAAAGTGCTTATAAGTCCTTATATTTGAAAATAAAATATAAAAACCCTTATAGGTGCTTACTTTTTCTTTAAAGTCTTTTTTTTTTTTTTTTTTTTTTTTTTTGTTTTTAGTGCTTATTTTTTGCTTTTAGTGCTTTTTTTTTAAATGAACGCACAATTTTTCCCCGTACCAAAGCCGAAACTAAATAAACAACTTTTCTTCCTAATATTGATTGTCAGATGGTGAATCATACTCCTGGAATTTTCCCCCTTTCTCTTCATTAACATAACCTTTGGTGTGTGCGGAGAGTACAGACAGGTGCCCTTCGTTCTAATGGTCAAAGAATTGCAAAAGCAGTAGAAAATTCCGGTACATTCGGCATTCTTCCCACCCAAATACTACACACGTTTGAATTTCTATCAAGATCTTAATAATTTCCATTCTCGTTCCGCTTGGTTAGTTCATATTCGTGTTTATTATGATCGTTATGCTTATATTATGAGAATATGTATGAATGTTTATAATAACATAGTTGCAGTAACTGCTGAAGTATAGTAAACTTCCAAAAATGGTTGTGTTTTAACACAGATTAGCTTCTAAGGAATAATGTTCGGAATGGCTTAAATAAAGGGAAAGTAATCAAATAGTCAAAATAATTTAATTTTTTTGGCCAATACATTATACAGTATGAAGGTTATGAGGTTCTCCCCTTTCTTCGCAAAATCTCGAATATTGAAACTGTTACAGTTAGTTCGCTGCAAAACAAGCAACGGAACCCCTTTTTTTTTTTGTCACTTTCCAATCTGGATTGAATAGGACTAAAAGTTCTGCGGTCTACCAACCCAAGCGAAGAATGATTATGTTCCGGAAATTTAACGTGGTCTGTTGAAAATTAAAATGAAAAACCACCCCTACCGGCAGCTGTTGATTCCGATTGCGTAATATCATGTAGGGACATAATTACGGTGCACGTATTGCGCAATAACGTTTGCGATATTTTGTAGAGATAATTAATTTTGATGTTCGGTCCGAGATTTGTTTATGAACACTTAAAAGAGTTTTACTGTGCTTGCTAAGCAGAATATTTTTCTGTTTCATTGGTTTGTTTTTATACGATGCACATATCGAAATGTCAAAAGGATTTATTTAGCTGAAAAAGTCTAAAGCCTTCCGCTCCACTTTTTCAAGTTACGCTCGACTGTCCGAATATTCGCCAATTTTTTCAAGTATGCAGGTAGTTAAGCTTTTAATGTTAAAGGATGACTGCATGAAGCAAACTTCTGTCTTCTGATTTCAGAAATGTTCCTCTTTTTCACTTAAATTATTTTGCTTGCAATATCTGTTAAGGGGAAAACTGATATACGATGAAAATTTAGAAAATGTTCAGAATTTAGATTTAAATTAGCTAAATATCAATATGAGTGGAAAAATAAATTGTATTTATTATTAAGTTCCAAGTGAATAGAATATGCTTTTATTATTATTTATTTCCTCTATTTTGAACTGAAATTTCATCATTAAATCTTGTAATATAGTTTAGTTCTGCATAGTTTTTTTTTTCTCTCATTGTAAACTAGTTCTGTAAATTGAACTGCTATTTAAAATTTTAAAAGAAGCGTGTAATTGTTTTCCATGGCTGAATAATGCTCATTCTCTCTTAATAAATACTGAATTTCTCATATTTTAAATTACAAGTCTTATTTTTCTTTTAAGTTTATGCAGTTGTGTATAATGTAATTAGACAGGTGCTTATTTTTTTTTCTTAAAATGTGCTTGAAAAGTGCTTATTTTTTTAACTAAAATGTGGCTATAAACCCTGTACAACTGTATCTTGTTGCATCTACACAACTTCCAAATTTATTCTTTCTTACGGATCTTCTGACTGTGCTTCAACATTTACCTGCATCATTCCCATATTATCTCATATGCATATATATGTGTGTGTGAGACAAAAAATTTAACTACAAACTATAATTTGCATTAGCAGTAGTCCTAAAGTCCTTTTTAATTTGGGTACCGTATTTGATGGCATATAAATGCACTGGCATATAAGACGCACCCTTATTTAGACGCCCACACACAAGGAAAAAGTTTCAATAGCGTGGTTTCCCAAATAAACAAATATTGAATGCAATAACCTTCACGTATAAGATGCAGGTAACTTTTTTGAGACCAAATTTAGGAAAAAAAGTCTGTCTTATATGCCATCAAATACGGTAAACGTTTTCCCACCTGCTGCTGCTTGAATAAATAACATCTCTTGCTTCAGCTTCTTTGTTCTTTTGTTTAAAAAAATGTCAGTGCGTATTTAAAAATTTTGGGGAGCAGATTGCTCTGCTACTCAATATGATCTTTGAATAGCATAATCATCAGTTAATAAAATATATTGTGCTTACCCAAGGATTGTATGGTTCTATTAAAGATTCACAACATCTGTTGCACCATCTGCTTGAGTGTCATATCTGTTGCCACTTCAGCTATGACTAAAAAGTGAAATGTACCATGACAGTGAACCTCTAAATTATAACAGCACGTAGAATCGACAGGATTTTCTTTATGATGTAGTTTAGAGGTTCACAGTCATGGTATGTTTCACTTTTTGAATGATATCAATTGTGAAAATTATGAACACTATAATACTGAAATCAATCAATTGATGATTTTCAACAGAGAACATATCTTCTTTCCCACCAGTGAAAAAGAACTTGATTATTTTCTGAAAGCCGAGGCAATATAGAACTTGCAGATGGATGACCTCCTAATCACTTGAACTGTAAACACTACACCATATCTGAAAACACTCATTAAAAAAAATTAGTTTCAGGTGAATTTTCCTTTGAAGTTTTACAAGACAGGTAAAAATCCTTGCAGCTCTATTTATTGTATAATTTGGAATAAATTCATGACACACATAAGTACTTCTAAGAAATCTTTGTAATTCTTTAATTTTATATATCTATTTAATATTTTGGTTTCAGTTTCTTTAGTAACTTCAATATTTGCATTACTGAGTTCATATTTCCTTACTTGAACTTCATATTGTTTTGTATGAAGTGTTTTAGTTAAAATTTTTGCAATTTTATTATTTTGGGTGAAATTCTCAAGAAGTGAAAATACAAGTATTCTGATATTTTCATTTAAGGGGATCGATCATATTTATTAACTTATTGTTGCTTTTTATTTTATATTTTTTGCTAATAGAATATGTTTAATTTTTTTTCAGAACTATGAGCTAAATAAATAAATCATTTTTATGAAAATGAAAGATTAAAATATTATGGTATTAAAAATATAAATTTTGATAACTATTTTTGAATTAAGGAAATTAATATTTTTTCACAGCAAAGATTGTAAAATTATAATGTCATCATATTTTTTATTTTTTAATTATTAAAAAATATGTGAGTTAATGTTAATAATTTTATAATTATTCGGAGAGTGAATAGAAAAAATGAAGTTATTTTGAAATATGAATCCAGAAATGTGTTTTGAATAATAAAGTAGAAAATATAAAAAGTGTAACTTTTAGCATTATTGTAATGAATATTCAAAACATTAATAATTTAAAAATTGAGTAATGACAATGAATTTGAATATGTGTAACATAATTAAAAAGTGAAACGGATAAGAAGAAAGTAATTTCGAGCTATGGTATGTGTATATGTATATGTAAGTATGTAATGAATAATTGAATGTAAAGTATAGAATATGTTAAGGGAGTACAGGGTTCAGAAATAGAAGCCTATAATTACTTCACTACAATTGTTTCTTTTGCCATCCTCTAATAAGATTATATTGAAAGCTCTCATTTTATGATTGAGTGCAGCTTTTATAGCTTATTTGTTATTATTATGGAATACAGTACTGCATCGATATCGTTCAGGCATATCATCATACAAGTTCATCCAGATCATGTACCGAAAACTGCAGCTTGCACCCCATTTGGTATTTTTGAATTTCTGTTTTTAAATTTCAGACTGTGCGGAGCAGCTCAAACCGTTCAAATGTTTATGAACCTAAAATTGGGGGCCTAAAATTTGTCTATGTCTACTTAGATGATATTTAGTGACACAGAAGACGATCATGAATCTCACTTATGGACTGTTTCTAGAAGATTAACTTCATACGGATTGACAATTAACTCTGTGAAATGTGTTTTCGGCGTTTCCGGAAATATCTTTTTAGGCCATATAATCAATAAAAACGGTACCAAGCCTCAACCAAAGTTGAACCAATACTTAACTACCCACTTCCTAAAACGGTAAAAGATTTGCAGAGATTTTTACCATTGATTTTTACCCAACGTAGCCCAGAATCCTACATTTAACTTCCTACTTAAAAGGGGCTAAGAAAAATGATAAGACAATCCTGAATTTGTCTGAGGAAGCGCGGAGTGAATTTCAAAAGTGCAAACAGCTAATCGGTAATGCTGTTCTTTTGGCACACCCGAAGAAAGATGCCCAGTTGGTTTCACAGGTTGATGCGTCAGACTTCGCGATCGGTGGAACGCTATCACAAATAGTTGATAGAAATTTACAGCCTCTCGCATT